TGAGATTAATTTTGTTTGGCTAGTGGAATAGTAGGAGTGTTTGGCAAGAAGGATGTTTGTTTAGAAGGATAGTAAGAGTGATTATTAGAAGATTTTAATTATTTAAAAAAATTGAGAAAAAATCTGGTGTTGACACCTAAACAAAAATTACCTCCCGATGCTTCTTCTTTAATATATAGAAGATTTTAATTTTAATTGAAATGTTAAAACATTAACCAATTAGAAAGATACAAATGTGTTTAGAATTTTTAATGAGTTTTTTCAAGAAGAACCATTTCTTCCTCTCTCCAAATTTTTTGTTTATTTCAGGAAGAAACTCCTATTGAAGATGTTCTCAGATATGATTACTATTGTGACTAGTGACTACTATTATAAAATCACCATCAATACACTTGTGAGATCGTACACGAATCATGAATATATTGGGCCAACAACAATATGAGGGATTGAGCTTCCACATTGTTCAAAAATGCCCCCCAAAATGTCATCATCTGAATACCATTTCATTGCCAAAATACCTTCTCATGTTGTACCATAATACATGTTTTCCTTTTGTTCTGTTTGTAGCAGATACACAGAAACATCCAAAAAGTCTTAAAAGTAGCAATATATACAGAAGATGAAGAAACAAAGACAAGAACAAGACGAGTATCATGTTCTTTCTCTGAATTATTCTTGATTTTCTCCGACAAGAAAAAGGCAAAGAGGGGTGGTGTGTCTGTCCTCTGTATCTACAACTAGCCCATCCCTTCTCCTGCTCTGATCAGCTCTGTTAATGGTAATGACGCCAGCGATTTGTTCACACGGAAATTGGACCCAAAACAACAAATTATGTTAGAAATGGACTTCAGTAAGCTTGGACACTATCCTTTCTGGTTCTGAATTTGAATAGAATTGAAAGCGTAGAAGGTATCTGTTTTGAGAACTAAATTTTGATGAGATAGGTAGCGATCTTCATAGTCATAGATTTCATTTCAGGATGAATAAGCAAGTAAACTGGTTCTAGAAATTACCTGAAAATAACAAGGCTTGAGTAAAAGCTCCAAAAATCGTATATTTCAGGTATTCTCTGCGACAGGAGCAATAGGCTTCTCGTTTTGCTTCAATCCGTCCTGCTTACAAAAGCTTGGTTTTTTCCTGATGCCTGCATGTTTTCTAACCTTAAAATGTTCACCCTTAATCATGTAAATGTTCCCAGGCGCATCAGGAACGGTGAAATCAGTCGGGTTTCTATTGACGCTGGAGATGATAGGTCCAAACGTGCTCCTTGGAGGCCAAGCAGAGACGACATTGTTGCTCTATGCTTTTTTTGTCTTATGTTTCTTGGCGTTATCCGTCATGTGAAATTTCAGAGGTAGCATCATGGAATCTGATGCTCCAAAAAGCTGGAATTTCCCTGGATCGCTGCTCCTGTTTGTAAAGATTGGCTTTTGATGATGACTATTGTTGTAACTTGGTGCAGAGTTGCTGTCTTTCCTCTTGGATTTTTTCTCCTGATGATGATTCCATGAAGCTTGGAATGTGGAGTTAGCATTTTCTGCAGAACTCTTTCCACTTTGAAATGTACCAACTGGAGGAATGGTGGGGAAGTTTTCACGGGAAGTCTCGGGCGTCACTCTCTCGCTGCAAAAATCGAAAGGCCATTGCTTTGTGGAGTAGGCTGTCTTATTACAGTCCCTGGGTTGAGGTCCTATAAATTCCTTGGAGTGGTGAACCGATGAAAAAGGACCTTTCAAAAATTTAGTGTTTCGGCTTTGGTCGATGGGAATGCTTGACCTCAGCCGCGGATCCATGAGGCTCAGTAGGTACATCGCTGGTATACTGCTCTCATTGGAATAATTCTCCGATGATTTGCTTCCATGATCAAAATTCAAATTCCGTGTATTAGGATTATCCAGCTTGTTGACTTGTCCGGAAACTTCTGAGACATATTGAGCGAGACTGGTCTATGAGCATGTGATGATGTCATGGAAGATGACCAAATAGGATGAGAAGCTTCTCTATAGTGCTGCTGTTGAACACTTTGGCACGTCTTACACGCGCGTAATACCCGAAATGAGGATGGAAACGGATTCGGATGACTGGCCACCGTTGTTGGGACACTACCTAGCCACTGGCAATTGTGACTGCTTTGCTGATTGGGCCCTAGTACACCAGAAAACTGGACGGAGCTTGATTGGTTATCTCGAGTAACAGGAGATATCCTAAACCCGGAAAGCGCATTATAAGGCTGACCAAACTGACTTGTCGGGAAAAATTGCAGAGAGCTCTGCTTTCCGGTCATAAAATGTTTTCCATAGTGGCAGCATCGCTGTTCATAGCATTCTTACCAAGAGGTTTTGGTTGCCATAATGTGTTGTCCATGCTGTTATCGTAGGTTTCATTGAGATCAATCAACAGAGCATTCTTGGATATGCTGGTTGTCGTTTGTGATGGCTGTTTGTCCTCTTCTCTGTCAAGAAGACACCTTTCATACTGGTTTTTCGCCATAAGCTCAATTATTTCCATGGGAATGTCATCTATATGCTCAGATGCCTTGCTTTGGATTCTAGGTTCTCCGGAAAGTTCCTGGACCACAACTTCCTTGCCCTTGTCGTGTGCCGGGGAAATATCCTGCCAAATAAAAGTAAATATTTTTTTTAGCCTGACTCGATAAGCAATCACATCACTTTGGAACACTCATCAACTAATTCTCATATGCATATGAATACATAGATAAATGAAGTTTTGTTGCATATCTCAAAGTTTCGAGTTTTCTTTCCACAAGGGGAAATATTAGATAGGCATCTGTATGCCTGAAGAGAACTGACAGAAATTTCTCAACACTGGAGAAACAACATGGCAACAAATTCGAAAACTTGATAGGTAGATTGATCTAAAAGAACTGTAAAAGAACAATTAAGAACAATTGTAATGGTCTTTAAAAAACCCATAAAAAATGATAGTGATGTACCTGTTGCAGAGCACAAGAACCATCTGCAACTTCAGTAGAACAAGTTTGTCTTTGGTTGTCGTTCAGGGAAAACGGTCTAATGTCATTTCTTTTGCTACTGAAGTCAACATGTACTCCAGTTCTCAAGAACCCATCTGCAGTGGTGGACTTAAAGGAGGAACCAAAATCTCGAAAATGGTTTATCCCTATACCATTCAGCATCGCACGATCATCATCTTTGTAACGCATTTTTTCTTGCACAGGCAATGGAAAGACTGACCTATCATCACGCTGAGCGGGATATTTTATTGATATGTCCATACGACGCCGAAAGTTTGTCACATGAATTGTCAAAGCCAATTCGAATTCAGAAAATCTCGAGTAGATTGAGGCATTATATCTCTTGGACCGGGTTGCAGAAAATTATCTAGCTTTCTCATTTTCACCAGATTTCCATCATCCACATTGTTACTAAAAGTGATCACGGTA